TTGGGGCTGGGGGAGACCCTGAAGGCTCAAAAAGGTTTTGGGGCTGGGGGCTCTGAGGGGCCACAAAGGCTCTGGGGCTGGGGGGGGGTCTCAAAGCTGGAGGGCTCTAAGGGGTCTCAAAGGCTTTGGGGCTGGGGGTCTCTGAGGAGTCTCAAAGGTTTTGGGGCTGGGGGGCTCTGGGGGGTCTCAAAGGTTTGGGGGCTGGGGGGCTCTGAGGGATCTCAAAGGTTTTGGGCTGGGGGGCTCTGAGGAGTCTCAAAGGTTTTGGGCTGGGGGATTCTGAGGGGGTCTTAAAGCTGGGGGGCTCTGAGGGGTCTCAAAGCTGGGGGGCTCTGAGGGGTCTCAAAGCCTTTGGGGCTGGGGGCTGCAGGCAGGGCCAGCGGAGCTGCCCCCTGTCCCCGGAGCAGGTCACAGCTGCTGGGGGCTCTCACCGAGTCCCCCCAGGGTGGGGAACACCCCTGGGGACGGCAGTTCTGAGCGGGGGGGGGGCTATCCTTACCCCCTCCCACCCTCACCCCCTCTCTCCGCAGCCCACCAACTTCACCAACCCGGTTTATGCCACGCTCTACATGGGCGCCCACAACAGCCGCAACTCCCTGGCCAGCACGGACGAGAAACGGGAGCTGCTGGCACGGGGGGACGACGACCTGGCAGACCCCCTGGCATAGGGGTATGGGGGGCCGTGTCACCCCCCGTGTCACCCCCCGTGTCACCCCCCACCGTGTGACCCCTCCGTGTTCCTCCCGTGTGAACCCTTCCGTGTCCCACCTGTACGCCCCCATGGATCCCCCTCGTAAGCCCACCCTGACTATTCCCCATGTCCCCCCCTTGTCCCCACTTTCCCCTCCCGTGTGTGTCCCTCTCATGTCCCTTTCCTGTGCCCCCCCTGTGCCCCCCTGCGCCCCCCACTCCGCGTCCCCCCGTGCCTGGCACGGCCGCGGGGGTGTCCCTGTCACCCTCCTGCCCTGCCACAGCCACAGGACAGCAGCAGCTCCGGGGGTGGGGGTCTCAGCTGGGAACCCCCCTCACCCCCAGAGCAGCACCAGGGACCCGGGGCAGGACCGGGTGGGCTCGTGGTCGCCCGGGGCTGGGGGCTCGTTCTGCCGGGGGATGGGGGGCTCAGGCTGAGCCCCCAGAGCGTCGAGCCTTGGTGGCATCGCCAGCAGCCTCTCCACGTGCCAGGCGCTGTGAGGGACCCCCAGGGCCATGCCAGGTCCTGGTGCCCCCCTGCCGGTGGCTCAGCAGAGGGGGTCGCCCCTCGCCACCCCCCCAAATAATCGGTGCAGTCCCCGGCCCCCCGCAGCCGCTGCCTTTGAGCCCCCCCAGCCCCGCGCCGGGTGCCGGCGGCCTCAGATCTATTTCAATAGCGGCTCTTTGTTCACTTATCGGTCCTTAAATCTCCTCCCGAGGTTTTTCCTCCCTTTCCCCTCTTCCCCCCCCC